TCAAAAAGAATGTGGTGAAACCCCCCCCCCCCCCCGACCCCATGTGGCGCCAGCACAAATAGCAGCTTGTGGCGCGGCAGTGATGTGGATACATTGTATACGGCGCACACAATGTATCGGTCTAACGAGCAAGTCAGGCAGCACACGCTCCTTGTGCCCGGCCGGTTCTTTTCAAGTGATTAGTACATCAGTGATGCATTCAGTTGACTTGCTATTTCTGTCATAGCATTGTTCTCGCGCATGCATAGACGGCCTCCCCTGTATGGACGCTGCTCCTTTCACCGAAGTAATTCCATCTGAACAGAGTAAAGCTGGGCCCTTTCTGGCAATTGTCTAGATGCCAACTGGGGATAAAGCGGCAAACACGTGGAGTTTGTTCCTGGAAAAATGGGGCATCTGGTTTCTTCGGCTAAATGTTGCCTGTAGTTTAGTTTTTTTTTTTTTTTTTGTCTTTCATACATAAGCATGAGTGGAATGACTCTCACAGAGGTGACAGTTTTTTTTTTCCAGTGACTCGTTCATCAGCTGTGGAAATCACATTTCCTCCCGCCCTCAAGTTGATAAGAGTCAGTAGCCAAGGTCGAAACATTGACATAAAAGAGTGCAAAGTCTGAAGAAAATGTTTTGTCAGCGTTGCATCTTACTGCAGCACGATATTTGCTTCTAGGAGTCGATCAAACCTAGATCAATAGTTGATCTAGACTGAAAAGCATAACAAAGTACAAATGGTAAATCACATCGATCATGTTCAGAAACTAATGCTCGATTTAAAGTAGCCTCATCTTGATGCGCTTGGCCGGATTGTGATACCCAGGTCCGGCCCGGAACAGGCTACCGTACAAAAAAAATAATTTTTGCCGCCTGATCCATGCCATGTAAAAATCCACACGCTTGCTTATAACTAACGTTATATATTCCCTTACAGGGGAGGAGGCGCTCACAATGTACCTGGCCAAAAACAAGCTGGACAGGAAGCTGGCCAACGCCACTCAGAATGTGGAAGCCCTCCACCAGCTGGCCTCCTCCTACTTCATCGACCGCGACGGCACAATGAGGAAGCTGCACGAGATCCAAATCTCCACCAATGCCATCAAGGTTGGTTGGTCATGAATAAAAATATACGGAATGCTGTTTACAATTTGTTGACTAAAATAGTAGCTTGATGCCCAAATGCTCATCAGTCCCCTTATTAACCAGCTAATAATCATAACTGGAGTCGGCATCATCAACATGGTGCCCGCGGGTGCTTGTGAGCCCCAGGGGTCACCTGAGTAACCTGCGAGCCTGTTCAAAAAGTAGCTTAACAGCGATGGTATACTGTACTGGGATTTTCAGAGCGGAAAATACGCTACATGTTATTGCATGATTCCTCAAATCTGGAGGCAGGAGGCAACAAATAACACGCTGTAACTTATTGCCCCCAGCATCAACCCTATCATGCCACACATACGTAATGCACTTTTTCCAGGTAGCGGGCTACTGTGAGGAAAAGACTGTAATGCAATGCATGCAGCTATATGTTGAATAAATAATACTGCCCGGGGCCCCAGAACAACAGGCCGCCTCTCTTCAATGACCTTGCCGGCACGTACTTTAGTTATTTATTTTTTATATTTTGAAAAGCAATACCATGAGTATTAAAGTTCCTTGTGTCATCGCGGTATGATAAATTATTCCGGAAGGGTGGCTTTCGGTGCTTCTTTGACCACAAACAATCGTCAAGTTGGCCAAAGCGAATGTGAATTTTTCTCATTTTCACATAATTCACCACATACAAATTCACCTTGATTCAAAATGTGTCCCAAGGTATGAATTAGTTTCACAGTAATTTAGTTGAGGTAGGGAGAAACTTTGCCTTTTTTTTTTTCCCTCTTTATTTTTAAAGTGAAAGCAATCATCGCTCGATGGAATTACACGGCCCATACCAGCGCCGTACAGCAAGCTGTTTATTTCAAGCCCTGGCGCTCCAAATTATTTTGACTTATTTGGCTTTGCAGAGTCCCGCAGTCACGTAATTCTTAGATGGAATGAAACTCGAAATAGACTGAACAACCACAGAGAAAATGAAATGTCGAACTTCTTGCTACTTGTAATCGCCCTCTGCGAATATAAATCACTTGAAATGTTTGAATCACCAACGCTGGGTCAAATGGCGTGCTGGAGAACAAAAAAAAAAGTGAACATCGGCTTGAAATCACTCATCCCTGTGCAATATGGTCAAAATGACAAGAGCTCACAGGAATTATAAAGCCGGCATGCAAACCTTTCGTGACGCTAGATGGTCTCTTTCAGCTTTCGACAGCATATTTTGTTTACAACAGCGTGGTTATCACATTTAGTCATTTAAATGAGGTCGGCAATAGCAGGCTTCAAACTTCATCCACGTGTTCAATTTTTAATGCGTTTTAGTTTGGTTAGAACTTGATTTATTTATCACAGAAGGTGATTCGAATGCCAAGTTTTTTTTTTTTTTTTGTCCGCACCAAAGTGATCAGCGAAACAAGTCATTTGGAGCACGGATATATTTCGGTTAACCGTTAACCGCGCGGGGGTTGGCTGTAAACTTCCTAAAAGGTATGTGAAATGACAGTTAACATTTTTTTTTGGGGGGGGGGGACTAATTTGAGCCCCTCAAGGCTCGCAGAAGTTACAAGCAGCAATGAAGACCCTCGCACAGGTGTTTTCACAGGTGTGGCAGCATGCTCCGCCCACAATTAACTGCTCTGAAATTTGGTGACATGGGTCCTTGAGACTTTTTCGTGCAACCTGCTAAGTCCATAGAATTTTCAAGTTGAGTGGTGCGACACTAGTAAAATTGGTTTCCGAGGATTTTTTTTTTTCTTTTCTTCACGCCCTCCGCTGAACGTTCTGTACATTTGCGGTACACGTTTTGCCCTTGGCGCACCTCAACCACCGCAAGTTGTACCCTTTCGGAAAAGCTCGCTAACGTGCTTGAATTGTGACCTTTTCAAAAAAAAAAAAGCTCCGCCCACAATTAACTGCTCTGAAATTTGGTGGCATGGGTCCTTGAGACTTTTTCGTGCAACCTGCCAAGTCCGTAGAATTTTCGAGTTGAGTCGTGCGACATTAGTAAAATTGGTTTCCGAGGATTTTTTTTTTTTTTCTTTTCTTCACGCCCTCCGCTGAACGTTCTGTACATTTGCGGTACACGTTTTGCCCTTGGCGCACCTCAACCACCGCAAGTTGTACCCTTTCGGAAAAGCTCGCTAACGTGCTTGAATTGTGACCTTTTCAAAAAAAAAAAAAAGTCATCGTGCACTTCAGACTGCGTTCACGACAACAAAGAGTTGAAATTTCTCGTTTTTTTTCTTGCGACTGCTTGGCTTTGTTATGCCATCAGTCGTTTAGTGCGCCACCGCACTGTAACCTTCCTCCTCAACTCCTCATCCCAGCCCTTTCATTCACGTCCTTATCTTTTTTCGGGGGCCGGTGAGTGACAAGAGGATTAAGGCGCCGTGGCAGATGAGAGTGCAGGTAGCGACGAGTCGAGCGTGGCCAAATTAAGCAAACCTGACAGCGAATGCTGAGTCAGTTTCTGAGGGAAGGCAAGACTGGGAGCGGTGTCGAGGGAAGGCTGGGATGGCTCTTAGACAAGACGCGGAGTGGACGGCGCGCTTGTCTGCGTGACAGACATGCAGCATATGTCACCAGGTGAGACTCGTCTGATTTTTTTCTTTTTTTTAGGAACAACCGCTCGAGGTCGTAGAGCTACGATTTACGAGACGGCACGTCGAGACCCCTCAGATATCATCACATCTGCCGCGACGTAATGACTCATTTGTAGCTCCTGCTGGAATAGCTCTTCCTGCCCGAGCAGGCTAATGTAGCAGCGATGCCGATTTTCTGTGCAGATAGACAAAACACGGCTGTGTGCCGAACACAGCAGCTCCTTATGGTTGTGTTTTGTCTTCTACTTTCACTCTTGAGAGAGTGCCAGGAAGACACATTTAGACTGGTTGGCAGAATTCACCACTCAGTTCGATTTTTATAGGAGATTCCTTTTAAATTGGCAAATATTTTCACCGCGAGAGACAAATGCTGAGGATAGACAGTGAAGCCTCGTTTCAAGTCAGACTTGTTTTGAAAATGGCTCGGTTTTTATGATCTGGACCGGCGTTGTGTGGGAGGATGTGAATAATTTATTAATCCTAAATTGATTTGGGGATGATACGACTGCAAATTTTGCCCCCCGTCCCAAAAACAAAACAAAAACAAAACAAAAAAGCTGGACTTTTAAAAAAATGTATTAACGGTTGACTTATTACACATTGACCAATATAATCAAATCTCATGTGATTTATAGTCAAGTAAATGGGCCTACGAACCATAGATAAAATATAATACCCCCCGCCCCCTTCCACCCACCCTCAAGAAAGGAGACAAATGCACTTTGCATCAGATCACGGTGTGCGAACATTGCATGAATATAAAACACGCATAGCCAACTATATTATTGCAGACATAACATAACCCAAATTTAATCTCAGTTTATGTGCCTTATAAAAACCACTCAACGATGAATAACGGTGACAGGAATCGCTGTTTTCCGCTCAGGTCGCAGACAAGAGCGAAAGTGATGCGAAATGTGCAGGGGAAGCAAAGTCCAGCCCGCGGATCTATAAACACGGGGAACAAGGGCTTTGCTCCTCCAATATTGATTCAGTGTGGCTGTGGAGCTGCTTTGCAGTGCAAACTTACAATCAGGATGAAAAGCATGTGTCAATACGGCCAAAATGTTGGAGACGTTTCCTGTCGACGCGGAAGCCGGTTGAAACGAGTCGATTTTCTTCCGCTGGGACGGCGCGTGATCACAAAGCAAAGCTATGTGCTTTATTTTGGTGAAATCCCATTTGTGCAGAAGTCCTTGGGTGATTTTGAGGTGTCCTTTTATAATAGACTACCTAGTCTACCCAATTTTGTGTTCATTGGTGAGGTTAATGTCGAGGGCAATTTTATTTTCATACTTTCCATCGGGCGCTTCTGAGTTCTTGTATGCATTTTTTTTCCCCAGATGAGTGAACATCATTAAGACAAAAGCTAATATTTTGTTTGAACAAACCAAGTGTTAACACCCTTCGCATAAGAACATATTTTATGACCAACAATTAAATCATCATTAAAATGCTTTGTTCTGACAGGATTTTAGGTCCACCTCCTGAACAGAAGTACAAAAAAAATGTTTTAATGTTTTTTTTTTGTACTCGGAGTTTGTCGTGCTATAAATTGAACGGAACACAGAAGCTGATGTAAATTCATCAACTCTTACCATCTGATGTCGAAGACAGCAGATGCTCTCATTTGGAAATGAATGCACATTGCCGCCGATGGTGGGCCAGCA